TAAATTCACTCACCTTCAACTCGCTAGTTTTCCTGTGGTACTCTACGACCCTGTACGACGGGTTGTTTCCAAACAGTGGGGACACGGCACCCCCAATCAAGATGGGTACTTTTGGCGGTCCTTTCGGCATGTGATGTCTGTTGTGAGGGCCAGATGCACTCTCGTGTGTGTTGTAGTCTCTCTCGGGGAACGCGCGGAACTCGTCCGAGTGTGTGTGGCCGAACAGTTGAGCCGTTATCAAGTCCCTGTCCGCCGATACACAAGATAGGGCAAAAACGGACCCAAAATACATAAATATATAAATAAAAAGGACCCAGTTTGGATTGGACGCAGTATTGTGGTATAAAGAGGGCAGGTCAACCACACGGCAACGCACAGATAGTGCTGTGAATCAGCAGACACCGCCATACTTGTACTCAGAAACAATGCGCATGAACTTGTGGACATAGCAGAAACCACCATACCTATACTCAGAAACAATGTGCAGGTACTTGTGGACATAGCGATCGACCCACTGCGGTTTCCTCGCGAAGGTGTCCTTTCCAGGTGGGATATGACCTGGTACACACGGTCGGATGTGGGATGAATACGACACATAGTGTTGCATTTAAACGTAGGTAGATATTCACGATGAGAGCGAGACTCAATCCTTTGTGAATGTATGTGCATGTGTGTGTGTATGTGAATGTGTTTGTGTATGTGTACATGTACATGTATGTGTATGTGTATACTAATAATAAGCTCGGCACTGTATCCTTTCGCACAGCACGTCACAAGTACCTATATGATAAAAACGGTACACATTGCACACTTATCAGCAAGATATGTCCCTCGAGATCGCATACCAATAATCCAGGCGGTGCCCCCGGACTCTCGAATGCCCTGTAGTACTGAGTCCATCCATTCCAACTGGCCGTAGGGATCCTTAACGCTTTGCACCGCTGGTCTGAGCTTGGTGCTGTACATAACGGTATTGAGCACCACCAGATGCAGCCGAGACCCCGTGACTTGGTGGGGGACCTCCCTGTATCGGTGCAGCGGTATGCGTTTTAACGCGTTTTGGGTTCAGACATATGAAGTTATCTAGGAAGCTTGGTTGGCAGGACGCACCTTAGTACTAGCGTCTCAAGAAGCCAGCTCTGACACACACAGCACTAGTCCGGACACTAAGTCCCTTTCCCCTTTTTAAGGTGCTAGGACTAATGTATCTTGCCAGAGCCACAGAGACTATTACAGCGTTGGACTATCGATAGAACGTCCGAACCGTTGCCCACCGAATGAGTCGTGGTGCGTAAAGGCACGGCAACAGTATCGGAAGTATCCCACTGGGTCAAACCTTTCACAGTACAACAAGGCTCTATGTACAAACTCTCCCGGTACAATATGGCTCGATGTCAAAACTCTCACAGTAGGCTGTGGGTCAAAGCACTCGCGCCGGCTATGAACGAAAACTCTCACAGTACAACAAGGCTCTTATGTACAAACTCTCACGGTACAATATGGCTCATTGTCAAAACTCTCACAGTAAGCTATGGGCCAAAGCTCTCACAGTACAACAAGGTTAATGATAATAACACACAAGAAATGGACTAGTGTAAGACGTGTGTACCTGCTTGTCCATTCGATGTCAAGTACAGTGAATGTACTGTTCATACACAAACACATTCTAATAGCAAACCAGATATATCAGCTCGACGGCACAGAGGTACATCGCATGGGGATTCAACATCCGTGCGAAATGCCGTATACCTACCTAACATAGTAGCCACCCTTCTTGAAGGTCTTCATCTCCGAATGGCTGAGTTCGGACTTCCACGCCTTCGATATCTGCAGCGGCAACAGATACGATGAGTACAGCTAAGATACACTCCCACGAGCTCGTATGCGGGGATATTTGACTGTCAGTACACCCCCCCAAATACTTCCAGCATCTAGCACACACACACACACACACACCCAC